AGAGCCCTGGGGCTGACATTGTCCAGCGGTATATTTGGTTAGTACATGTGTTGTCGTCCCATGTGCTCGCAGTGTGTTCATCGCTCTGTTAGTGTGGCTTTGTGGATTGAATTATAGTTTAGCGGTTCTCGGCGTTCCCTCCCTATCCTCCCCTTTCTTTTCAGCATTTTATGTTACTTATTTATTTATTTATTTATTTATTTATTTATTTATTTATTTATTTATTTATTTATTTATTTATTTATTTTCCACCAATGCCGTCTGGCTTGAGTGTGACGGGTGCCTGTAGGGGGCTTGGCGCGGGGGGCTCGTGGCTTGGTTNTGGGGATGTGACTGCGGTTGCAGCCCCCGGGCTTCGTAGGCACCTTCCCTCCACTAGCGACTTGGGCGTTAATTTGTATTAGAAATGAGTTCCCTTGTTTGTTGATTAGTCAGACTTAGTGCGCCAAGTTCACTGGTACCATATTGCAGGTCTCAAAAGCTCCTGTCAGAGCTCTCAAAAAAGCACCCACTCTCACCCATACAACAGCTCCCATTATATCCATGCTGCAGTGTGTATGAAAGTTAACTTTTCAAATATCTTTTAATTAATCTAACACACAGTTGTGTTCATCCTAAAGGTAGATCTGTGGTGCCTGAACGGCTGGACCTTGCGAGTGATTTAGAGTTTCCTGCTCAATCAGGTCAACCGGCCTTATCACCACCCAATAACCCTTCACCCAGCCCGTTCATGCAGTTTGCTGCCAGCATGGCTAGCCAAGGTATTAAACGTTTCTCCTAATATTAAATAGCTTCATGTCTTTGGAACTTCTGCGAAGGAATGCATAGGGACTGCGACAAATCAAGGGGCTTTTCAGCAGAAGTTTTCTAGGAATGAAACCATGCACATTTGCCACCAAAACCTGAAACAGAACGTAAAAGAAATTTTTGCAAGCTGAAAAACATCGTAAGAGCAAGTGTCTGGCGAACAAGGCAGGGAAGACCGGTTTTCCATCAACTGACTTTGCAAGCACTCTGAGTGATGTCTTCTTAAATAAGTGTTAGGATTATTCATTCGTTTGGTTAATTACCTAACTGGTAGGTATTATAGCATGATATTATATGGCTATGTCTCACAAGCACTGGGAACTACCGAATTCACGAATTTGATTGGCTGAAATCGATATTGACCGCGGTCTAGATTTTCCCATCTTGACCAGCATCTAGACCGGTTTCATTTTGCGTTGAAAAAGTAGCAAACTAAAATATAAAAATGTTCACCATTTTCTTTTATTTTCTTCTCAATCATTTATGGAAGTGCC